AGGAGTAAGGCCAACAAAAGGCATCAGACTACTACAAAGAAAATTACAAAGCATTACTGAAAAAAGCATTAATCATCTAAAGAAATGGAGGAATATACTGTGTTCATAGATCAAAAAGACGTAATTGTGTGAAGATACTAATTCCTCCCAAATTTACTTATGGAATAAAATGCTATCAAAATCCCAGCAGGTTTTGTTGCTGTTTTACTACTGAAATGGATAAGCCAATTCTAAAAAATATATGCAAATGCTAAGAGCCAAGAATAACCAATGCAATCTTGAAGAACAAAAAGCTGGAGGACTCACGTCACCAGGTACCGAACACAGAGTTGCAGTGGCACCAAGACAAATAGACCAATGAAACAGTATGTGGCGCTAGCTCTTCTGAATATCTACACAGGAAAGTATTTTTTTTTTAACATCTTCCTACTACCATATAAAAAACAAATCCTAGATGATTCTAGACCTAGATATGCTAGGTCAAACAATGCTTCCACAAAAATAAAAGATTAATGATCTCGGGGTCTGCAAATATTTCTTAAATAAAATATATAAAACACTTATTTCTTAAATAAAATATATGAAACACTTACCTTAAAAGAAAATATGGATAAATTAGGCTACATTAAAATTAAGATGTTTGTCAGGACACCAAGATAATGAAAAAGCAGGGCACAGAAATATAGAATTGCAGTAACAACTCCAAAAACATTCTCTATTCCTAATATATAGATTTCCTACAAATTAGTAATAAAATGACAACTCAACAGAAAACAAGCAAAAGTGGGTATTTAACAAAAGAGGATATCCAAACGTCCAGGAGACATATTTTGGTGTTCAGTCTCTTTAGTCATCAGGAAATTGCCAATTAAATCCAGGATGAGATTCCACAACATACCCACCAGAAGCCTACAACTAAATGCCAGTGAGGATGTATAGCAACTAAGATTCTCATACATTGCCAGCAGGACTGCAAAACAGCACAACTACTTTGGAAAACTGTCTTGCAATTATCTATGAAAGCTGAACATATATATTCCCCACAACCCAGTAATTCCATTCTCATGTATATATGCAACACTGATGCATATATGTATATGCCAAAAGTTATGTACCAGAATGTCCATAATATCATTATCGGTAACCTCCCAAAATGGAAAATAATCCAGTGTCCATCCAGAGAATACACAGTGGTATACTAATAGAACACAAGGCTATATAGCCATGAAAACACAATTGTGGAGTGACAGCACATAATACTGAGGGGGGAAAATGCTGTAGGATTCCTTTTGTATCAAGTTCAAAAACAGGCAAAACTAACTGATGGCAATGATCAGGAGATTGGTTTCAGTTGCAGAAATAAGGGGGTAATTACAGACCGAGAAGGGGGGCATGAGAGTCTTCTAGGATGCTGGTCTTGTTCTAGATCTTGATGTGAGTGATGCTTAAACAGTGTATTCCCTTTGTGGGAATTTACTAAGCTGTATGCTTCTCAAGTATTTTCTTTATAATTGAATATAAAACTTAAAGGAATGCCAAAAATGACAATGTTTCTCTACATCCTCACAACAGATTATTCTATAAATCTTATCTCTGCCAATTAACAATTATAATATTTACCGAGGCAAAATTAATACCTCCTAAATGTTCTGGCTTACATCTTAATGAGGAACGAGGCTTAGTAGGGAAAAAATGCTCTTTAGTTCCTAGAATTCCATGAAAAGCAAATTCTGAGGGAACTCTGCAGTTATGGTGGCCTGATATCATGGCTACAAATGTGCTATTATAGGAACGAAGCCTTAGGTGCTGTAATAAGCCCTATCCCAAACCTAGAACCACCAGGAATTAAAACGGAAAAGAAAAGTGTCTGGGGGAAGACCTAGAAACAAGCAATATACAATGGAAGCACGAGTACCAGGAGTTTCAGCGTTAACAGGAAGATTGGTCAGTTGTAGCTTTAGAAGTAGCCCCTGGATAGGATTCATACTGCCCAGGTTGTGCAAGGACACACTCTTACTTCAATTATGAAAGAAGTAAATGTCCAAAAAGCAATGCACTCTTTAAGAAAAACAATTTTCAGCCCTCCCTTACATACAACAGAATGCCAACCTAGTGTTTCCCCAAAGTGGTATAACTGAGATAGCACAGGGCCCATTTCTTAATATGCATAATACAGCTTTTGAAAAGGATGTATCAATGTACAATTGTATCAATTGTAAGATGATCTCAGAAATGTATTTAAACAGTCACTTCAGAGGAAACATTTCAATGAAACATCAGTTTTGATAAAGAGCAAAAAGAACGGCTTAATGGTTAAGAACATGGGCTCTGTAGTCATACAAACCCAACTCTGAATCCTGTTTGAACAACTTTGAACTGTTTGAACTAGCTGTGTGGCTTTGGCCACGTTCAACTTTTCAGTTTTCCTATTTGCAAAATGCAGGTGACAACTCATCAAACTATTGAATATTTATGTGCTAGTTTACAGACACTGCTTAATAACGAGCACAGTGCTGGGTTACCTGGGTGGCTCAGCTAGTTAAGCCCCTGACTATGGCTCAGGTCATGATCTCAGGATCCTGGAACGGAGCCCCATTTCTGGCTTCATGCTCAGTGGGGAGTCTGCTTGTCCCCTGTCCCTCTGCCCCTCCCCCCCACATGCTTGTACTCTCTAGTAACAATCTTTAAAACTAAAAAAATAAGCACAGTGCCTGGTACACAGCCAGTACTGAATGTGTGCTAAATATTAGTTGTTCTATCAACTACAGGATTAGTAACTCAACTGATACATAAAACAAGGTTTGATTTTGCTTAGCCAATTGGATCCAGAATCACTTCCTCTAAAAGCTCACAATTCCTTTAATGACCCATCCTAGAAATTCACCAGTGACCCCTATTACTAGTTACAGTATTCAAAACAAAGCAAGATTCATCTTCAAAATGCCATCTCAGCATGCTCACTCTCCTACTACCCTAGGATTAACAGCAAAGCAGCTGATTTGGGATCTTACTAAACTCTCAAGTGGCATTTGTCCGAGGTAGAAGCCAAGTTGGATGTTCATATTTATTCCATCAAATTCCCCTTAAAAATAACCAAACTTAAAAGTTCATTCTCATCTTCCTTGAAGCAGCAAAACCTAACTTTGGATGTTTTTCTGGCCACCAGTTCTAGAACCCAGGCGAGTCACAAATATATTTATTGGTGCTTCCAGCATTTTAAAAAACCTTTGGGTTTAAAACCTTTTTCAAAGCAAGCACTATTATAACTGAAACATACACTGCATTCAAATTGTAATGTCCACTCGAGTTTCTACTGAAACCAACCGATCCTCAAGCACTGAACAGAGCTGAAACAACTCCACCTTTTCAGACCAGATAGAATTGGGAGAGACCGTTCTTACAAGGCCGTCACCTTTCTGCAGTCTTCTGGTTGCCTGTCTTCCATACTTTACAGGGATCTGAAGACCTGTACCAGTCACCACAATACTTCCCCATTGTGCCTTTAATGCCTTCTTTGGGTGGCAAGTTCTTCTCTCTCCAAGACTTGCCACATTCTTGAGCATGCTCATGGGATCCTGAGTTTGCGGAATACGAGCCCATCCACAGAGCCAACTAGAGACCCCTTTCACTAAACACATGCCTGTAACAACAGAACTTGACAGAAATCCTCTCCACAAGCCAGACTGTTCTGTAAAAACATTACCCACGTAATGCACATGTGCATTTGTGTTTAGTATGGGAGCAGACTACAAAACCTGAGTCCCCTTATCTTTAAAAATCTGATTGAATTTTAAGAATTCCTTCAGTTTTGGACCTTGATGCAGCACACTTTTGGCCACCTGACTGCTGGAAAAAGAACCAAGCAACCTGAAAACCTCTTGGACATAGCTCCACATCTCCACAACTATCTAATGGAATAGCAATACAAAAAAATCTTGTTTATCCTAATTATGGACATACATACATATTTTAATAAAGTAAAAACTACTAAAAGATAAAAACTACTAAAAGATAAAAACTACTAAGACATATCACTCTTCTGCTAATTTCCTAAGTCTTCACTACTGAGAATTAAGCCAGGGTATATTTTTGGTGTCAACATCTCATTTAGCAATGAGTCAAGTGTGGTGATAGAGCGGGTACTCTCAGACACTGTTGACGGGACTGGGCGGCACTCTAAAAGTGGAACCACCCCTTTGGAAGGAAATGGGCAGTATTTATCAGTTGAAAAGTATGTTCTCTCCCACAGGACATCTAGAAATGCAAATAATTAAGTGGAGACAGTTACAAAGGTGTTTAATGCAGCACCATAATTTATAATAGCAAGTCTGGAAATAATCTGTCCAAAAGGAGTCAACTGGTTTAAAAAAAAATGAAAAACCCGAAGTCCATCCATATTAGTCACTCAAATTAGATCTAAATGTCTGATACAGGATAGTCTATGGTGAATAAATACCTATACATACTGATGTAGACTATTTCTCGAAAAAACTATTTAACAATGAGTGTCTCTAGTAAGGGGGGTGGCTACATAGTTCTACCATGTGTACATGTACTACTGAGAATGGATGTAATTATTTTCTGTTCCTGCCACTGACCTTTAGAAGTGGTAATGGGGGTTAATTTTACTTCAGCCTAAGGAAGATTATTCTGACACATTCAGCCTTATTTGGTTGTACAACCCAAATTCCATGCTAGAAAATGATACATAATTACACCTTGTGTGAGTATGAGTTTGTAGTTTAATGATTAAAATAAACACCGTGTCGTTACCTGGTTAAGAAGACTGGGAATGAATTGACTTGAGTGTTCTTACTCAGTGTTCTTCAACAACCAGGTTACCGGCAAAAACAAAAGGTTTTTCTAAAAATACGTATCATCTTTGGGAAACACAAGTGATTTGTGGAGAAGAGGGGGGAATTTTCCACATTTAGGCAAACAATACTGTCAATGTGTTTGGACTAGAGTTTATTTTAGAAAGATAAAGGATGGAGGCGCAATAATATTTGGCATTTTTAATTTAGGTTTGTTTTATTTAAGTTTAATGTTAATTCCATGCTGTGTTTCAGTAAGAACAATACAGATTCTGTATCTGTGGCTCCAGTCAGATATCCAGTAGTACAAATTAGCTTCAAGTTACACATACTGAACAAAAGAGGTTGAGCGAGCGAAGGGGGGAGGGGGGGCAAAGGGAAAGGGAAGGAGAAGAAACAAAGAATTGAACACGCATGCAGGCTTTTCCATACCACCTTCAATGCTAACCTGCTTTAGAGGGAGAGTATAAGTAGGCAAGAATGAGCAGCCACGGATTGTTGAACTGTTACCAGCACCATGCTTTTCAGCAACGTTTCAGCAGAGTTTGAAACACTTTACAGCAAAACCATTACAACTCTCCAAACAATCTTTAATCACTTCAAGCTAACACCCAATTAATTTTAAACATTGGTATAAAATTCAATTTAAATTAGAAAAAGGAAAAAATGATACCACAATGCCTCTATAGTGTGATTAACCTCTCTCTTAGATGCTTGCATCACCTAGAAGTCTAATGGATTTCGAATGTAATTTCCATTTCTAATGGTGATCTTGCCACATCTGGCAGGAGACAATACAGTAATGCTGAAAAAGCCTCTATGCAGTCCTGTTAGTGTCTTAAAGAACCTAAAAGCTGGGACCAGTAAAATCCACAGAAATTCACTCTTGCCTTTAAAAACTTTTGAAAACTGTTTAAAAAAAAAAAAAAAACAAAAAAAAAAACAACAGGGCAGGAACCTAAATTCTGAGACCAAATGTAAAAGTCAGATTTGATGGTTCTCAATGACAATGGGGGAATTTCCAATGGGAGTGGGATGGGAAGGAATGGGGTAGTCAGAGATGGTTTCTCTTGTTGGCTTTTATGTCTCACTGATTTTCATCTTCCACATCCTGCAGCGCTTCTTTATTCTGCTCTTCACCTGCAAAGAAGAACGAGTTAATTATTTTACACTGACTAAATTAGACTGTTGTAGTAACAAAAAAAGGTATCATTCCAAGCACAGACGCCTTACATTTGCTACAACTGATATTAAACACAGACAGCCAAAGGACTTATACCATCCTTGACACCTGAGATGCCTAAGCCAAGAAGTGCTGCTGGATCAAGGTCCTGAATGGTCAATAGGATGAAAAAAAACCCAATGCACAGTAAAACTATTTTTATGCTAAATAAGCTCTTAAAAGTGGACAGCCAAGGTAACCATATTGTTAAATGACTTTCAAGCTTTCATGTGTATCTTGGGTCAAAATACTCTTTCTCAATAACCTCACCTCTTTAAGAATCAAGGGTACTTATTATTAGGGTTTTTTTGGTAAAATCTACCCACAAGCTCCATGTGAAATGCTTCAGTAGAGAAATGAGCAGTAAGATGCTCCAAAGAAGTTCTACAATTTTAGAGGGAGGGTTCTGCTTTTTAAAGTGAGTTTACATTTTGTATCTTAGCCAGTCACACCAAACCATAATCCAAGTTTCTTACTCCAGAGTGAAACAGCATGCTCAAAGTAAACCAGACCGCTGAGGTTATTAAAGAAGGGCATTTGGACCAGTTCTCTCATGCCGGTTTTTCTTTTCCCTTAAAACATGATGATTGGCCTGAGGAATTTGAGCTGCACTATGACATGCAACACAAAGCCAGCCTATTCACTGGAGAATCATCTACCTATTAAAAAGCATTAAATAAGTCAGCCATAATAAAGAAAGCATGCAGGCTTTTGCTAAAAAATAACAAAAGAGGTAAAAGTTACATTCTTTTGTGCTTTAACAAATCACTATAATTCCTACGTAGTTAACAGTGTGAATCAAAATAAATAAACAGTTAACTAATCCAACAATCATTTTGGTTCAGACAATCCATCCATTGATACTGCTTGTTAATTAGGATGGACAAATGACACTAAGACTGGGTGCCTAGCAACATAAAGCATTTAACCTGAGGAGTGCTTTTTAAGCAGTCTGAAAGACCTTGATATGATAAAACAATGCTGTTACGGCAACAAGGATTAGGTAAGCATATTTTCAGACACTTTAAATTTTCTTCTCTGACCAAAATGTTTGATACTGAAACGTGACTCTTTTTAAAAGTTCTTAAGGTGGGGTGCCCGGGTGGCTCAGTGGGTTAGGCCTCTGCCTTTGGCTCAGGTCATGATCTCAGGGTCTTGGGATCGGGCCCCGCATCTGCTCAACAGGGAGCCTGCTTCCCCCCTGCCCCCGCCTGCCTGTCTGCCTACTTGTGATCTGTGTCAAATAAATAAAATCTTAAAAAAAAAAAGTTAAGGCACATAAAGAGTTTTGATTCATATATATATAGAAAAAGACATGCAAAGACAGACCAAAAAAACCATTTACAGAGGAAAGAAATGATGCACCACCCAATGATTCCCAAAATAATGTATTCAAACTCAGGAAATGAAAGGAACATTCACGCTCCTTTTTAACAGCAATACACTGCCAAAATATGGTTAACAAACAACAGAGCACACTCTAATTCACTTATAAGCAACCATTAGATTTGCCAAAAGTTCCAAGTAACTTTGGCATAGAATACTGTCAGATGAGTCACACCCAACCAGAGGTAGACAGAGGTAGCAGATCATAAATGTCTTGGAAGGTTTCACATCCTAGAATGTAGAACAGGCAGTTTTGTAAGCAAAAGGGATGATGGTATATGCAGGCATGATTAGTGACGAACCAAAATGAAAAAGCAGAATTCGCTGTGCCATGATAATGACTTACAAAGTAGAGTTTTTAGGAAAGGAAGAGTTGGATTATCCTTTAGGAATCTATATTGCAAGGAAAAAGGGAGGGAGAACAATCATATGAAAGCAACATTACAAGAAAAACAAACCGAGAGAGCAGGACGAAAGAAAACATCAATGATTTAGGAAAGTCAGATTTGGGTCTTTTTACTTTGTATACACACTTCACTCTACAAAGTATTTTTTTTACCTTTAAAAGGATGAAATAATATCCTCTTAAAAGGTATACAGAAGGGGGGGCGTTTCTTTGGACAGGTATTTCTTTGCCCACTGTTTCCTGATTTTGGGGTGGGGAGAAGGGGACAGGAAGAGAACACACATTTCCTTTCTATGGACTTGTTTATGAAATAGTCCTCTGAAAACAGGTTAAGAGAAAAGGACTGAAATCACTTGATGAGAAAAAGTGGTAATGTTTATAAAGATGTTCCAACACAGACAAAAGTGAACATATTCTGCAGTTTAAAAAAAAAACAAACATGAAAACATCTCAGGAAAAGCTCGGGAATTGCATACACATTTCTTCCTTTAGAAACCCTTAATTCAAGTGTTTTTTTTTAAACACCATTTTCCATAATAAAATTTAAAAAGGAGAAAACTATCTAAATAATGCTCAACTAAATCCAATATCCTGGGAAACTGCCAATTCCATGACTGCAATTTTGCACAGATTCTAAGTCACAAAACAAAAGTTAATAAAACATGTAATACTATACTTTTTAGGGGAAAATGGTGAATAAATGACTAGTACCCACAACAATTTGTAAATTCAGATAATTTGTTAATTTTACCAAAATGTCCAAAGACTACTTGGAATTTTTCACTGTTAAACTTGTTTCATTATTTCAAATATTTTATCGCCAAAGCTCTTAAATGAAAATTAGTCTGTTTCAACCAAATTTAATAAACGGTCCATTACAGTGTTAAGAACTGAAGCAAGTGGATTTTACTAGATTTAAATAAAACTGTTTTAGGATTAAAGAAAAATCTATGTAATAAAACATCCCTGGTACAAAGAAGCTTTGCAACTATGTAGTTTCAAGAAAATATCGTATTGCAGAAGGCAATCTATTTCATAAAATGTTTGATAACCAAAAAAAAAAAAAAAGCATTATCTTTGGCTCTATGTAAAAACAAAATGACATATAGTTTACTTTACTGGTTACCAGTGATAAGAATAGCATTAGAAAATATAAAAATAGGGGCGCCTGGGTGGCTCAGTGGGTTAAGCCTCTGCCTTCAGCTCAGGTCATGAACCCAGAGTCCTGGGATCGAGCCCCCGCATCGAGCTCTCTGCTCAGCGGGGAGCCTGCCCCCCTCCCCCGCCTCTCTCTGCCTGCCTGTTTGCCTACTTGTGATTTCTATTAAATAAATAAAATTTTTAAAAAGAAGAAAATATAAAAATATATTTCCATTTAATTTTATTATCTAGCAAGTTTAGTTATAAAAGTTGGAATGAACTGTCCTTTTAAAAAAAAAAAAAAAAAAAAAAAAAGCAGGGTTAAAACCCAGGTCATCATCTTTGTTATTTCACCCTCAGAAAAATGCCCCCAGAGGTCAAAGGGGTATAAACCTTACTTTAGGTCATATCGCTTACCAAACTCTCCACATGTTTTCCTTTTATTCCCTCAAACAGGCAGAGAGATATTAATCTTCTCTGAGCTGAGAGTGACTATGAAGAGTCCATAGCTGTTTGGCCATTCTTCTGAGTAGTTATTGTTTAGTATACAACAGAATGTTAAAGCTGGAAGGAACCTCAACTCATTAGTTCAGAGATAGAAATGGTTTTCAGTCCCACAGACTGGCAGTGGCTTCCTGAAGTGCTGTGTTGGAAAGTAATCTGTGGCTCCATCTGGCTTTGTTCAGTAAGTGTGCAAGTAGGTCTCATATGCCACATATCTTAAGCCAACCCTAGTCAGGTATCTAAATATTTCATAAAGCTAGTTAGATTTAAAGCTGAGTCACCTAATTCTCACTTCAGTACCTAAAGAAGTCTAAAATCTGACTCTATCCTTCCAGAGTAAGGAAACTTGAAATATACATGCCCAGAAAACCCATTTTCAGATGTACATTTAAGAAATATAATGCTTCCGGGGTGCCTGGGTGGCTCAGTGGGTTAAAGCCTCTGCCTTCGGCTCAGGTCACAGTCTCCGGGTCCTGGGATCGAGCCCCGCATCGGGCTCTCTGCTCAGCGGGGAGCCTGCTTCCTTTCCCCTCTCTCTATGCCTGCCTCTCTGCCTACTTGTGATCTCTGTCAAATAAATAAATAAAATCTTAAAAAAAAAAAAAAAGAAAAAAGAAATATAATGCTTCCAAAGACAGTCTAGCATGCTGGCTTAACCAATACACATAGCTAGCCTCAAGCAATGCAACATATGCTTCAGTCTGGGTAATACATTCTTAAAGGAGGGGGGGGCGCCTGGGTGGCTCAGTGGGTTAAAGCCTCTGCCTTCAGCTCAGGTCATGATCCCAGGGTCCTGGGATCGAGCCCTGCATCGGGCTCTCTGTTCAGCAGGGAGCCTGCTTCCCACTCTCTCTCTGCCTACTTGTGATCTGTCAAATAAATAAATAAAATCTTAAAAAAAAAAAAAACCACTCAAAGGATCTGCAACTAAAATTGACAAACTTTTTGTTTCCACTTCCCATACCACCACCACCAACTGTAAAGCTAGCTCATAAAATGGTCATGTCACTCTTCAATGATCTATCATGGATAAAAAGGATTCTCTGGAATAAGCAGAATAAAATCTCCTTTAAAAAATTAACAATTAGGGGCGCCTGGGTGGCTCAGTGGTTAAAGCCTCTGCCTTCGGCTCAGGTCATGATCTCAGGGTCCTGGGATCGAGTCCCGCATCGGGATCTCTGCTCATCGGGGAGCCTGCCTCCTCCTCCTGTCTCTCTCTGCCTGCCTCTCTGCCTACTTGTGATCTGTCAAATAAATTAAAAAAAAAAAAAAAAATTAACAATTATGGGGGCACCTGGGCGGCTCAGTGGGTTAAGCCTCTGCCTTCGGCTCGGGTCATGATCTCAGGGTCCTGGGATAGAGCCCTGAATCTGGCTCTCTTCTCAGCGGGGAGCCTGCTTCCCCCTCTCTGTCTGCCTGCCTCTCTGCCTACTCGTGATCTCTCTTTGTCAAATAAATAAATACAATCTTTTTTTAAAAAAATCAACAATTATGACAAATTTGGGCATTTAAAATAAATATTAACCCCCATCACAAGACTAAGTTTTGTAAAATACTACTTATATTTAAAAATAAACAACAACAACAGGGCCTATACCAGACCTCTTAAAAATAAGGACTAAGAGCAGGACATTCCATTTGCTCTATAAAATCCAGACACGAAAAATTTCCTTTAAAGATTTCCACAGAGAAGCTGATTCATAAATATTTACTGACACCATCTAGTTTTAACCTGAGGATACCAGTCACCCAAAGCAGTGATCATGACATGCAATTACGCAGATCCCTAAAATTTAATCTGAGAAAAATAAAATGAGATGGTTCCTGCCTCCAACTTCCAAAACAGTGAGAGAAGCAAACTAAGTTTAGCAAACATTAGAGACAAAAATTTTTTAAATCTTCAAATATTAAAAAAAGAGTCCCCTTTCCAAACAAGTCTTTTACATTATCATCGTACAGCCCCAAACAGAAAACTGTATTTTGAGATCATCTGCTGTAAAGGCAGTATTAAAATTTGATAGTCTGGAGGGTAGGCTGAGTCTAAACTATAGCTTAATGTGAAGAAATACCAAGGAAATCCTAGAAGTAAAAAGACCCAACAACTGAAAGAGATCCATTTAACGTCCAAGTTTCCTTACCATCACCCTGCATGTCTGAAGTCCATAGTGTCAGATTATCACGTAACAACTGCATGATAAGTGTAGAGTCCTTATAGCTTTCTTCACTCAGCGTATCCAGTTCTGCAATTGCATCATCAAAAGCTGCTTTTGCCAACCTAAAAGTATTTACATAAATATATTACAAAAATAAGCCCTTTAAAAACAGAAATGACATGTTAGAAATCAATCTTTTTCTTAAGTTATCCTGTAGTATGTTAATAGTGACACTGAGTATCTTGGGTTTAAATGCTGAAATAAAGGAACAACAGATACAACTTATGAAAACTATTTAATTTTGTAATCTAGCAAATTTGGAGGCAATAAAATTTTTGGAGCACCACTACTACTACTTTTTAAAGAAAAACAAAAAAAAAAA